AATGATATTATATTTAAAATAAATCTTAAGTAACTGCTAGTATTAACCTAATATACCTTAATCGTATCTACATACCTCTGAGTACCTCTTATACATTATTTTTAGTTCATATCATCTTCAAATCAACATTTTAGCAAACTATGAATGTCCATAAGCCATTTGAACATTATAACTAATGAATAGAGATGAGTTTCGTGCACTGGGTAGTCCGTTTTAGACATATGTACATACACATCACATATCTATACTGTCGTATAACCAATATCTACTGAGAAGCATTCCGACTTGTCACTGGCCAATTTTCTGTCACCTTTAATGGGTGTTTACAATTTTTCACTTTGATGGCTTTATAAATGCGTTCAAAAATGTATCTGCAGATATATAGATACTCGTATACTCGTACATATATACATACATATTATATGGATGATTATTTTCTTTGTTGGATGCTGCCAACTTTATTTTCATATAATTTTTATGGTCTATAAAAATTGTTCGCCATTTATATCACGTAAGTCTGTCGCACACGAACACACACAAGTGCACTCGCCTCACATACATATATTCATATGCAAGTGTAATAATCGGGCTCGTCTGTTTATGTGAGAGTGAAAGATAAATGCGTTTTCACTTTATGACTTTCGTGTCGGCATAAATTTGTTAATACCTTAAGGCCAAATTTATAACATAATAAATGCTCATAATATTTAACTTAACATTGCGCCGAGGCTCAAGCCCAGGCCCAGGCCCAGAATCGGAGAAAGAGACTCGGAATTCAAAATGCGAAAGTTAACATTGCCCTTTCGTCCGTCCTTCGTTTCGTGGCGAGGCGGAAGCGGAGAGTAAATTCTGATAAAATCAGACATGGTCTGGTTCTGCTTTTCCCTCTGATGCAGAGACAGAGGCAGCCATGGATGAATAGGGAGAGTGAGAGTGCGAGTGCGAGTGAGTGCCTTGCAACACACACGAAATTGAGTTATTGCACTGGAAGGCAAATTAAACTTCATAAATATTTAAAATCAGAGATTAAACACGCCAGCACCGACTGCATGTTGATGAGACTCAATGCCTGTCCTCGTCTGACTCAGGTTGCCAATTAAACGGGCATTATCTGGCATAACTGCAGTTTAAGTAGACAACTCTCCCCGACTATACCCCGTTGCCGAATGCTCGCACGTTTCTCCTTTTCACTTTAATGTTGCAGCAATGACAGTCAGCAGCAGCAACATCAGCCTGCCACAGCAGCAAACGATCAATTTAAAGTAACGATCTCGCCAAAGAAACAAAAACTACAAACCACAAACCGCAAGCCGCAAATGCATCTGGCAAATGGCGATACTCGTAAAAATGAAATGTATTTTTTGCAGTTGAGGTTTCTGCCGCTGGAGATCTCCTTTCCTCTCCTTTCCTTTCCTTTCCGCTGGCTGCAATTGCTGGATGTTGCTGCCTACGTCTGCGCTGATGATCGTTTCAATTTGAGTTCGAGGAGGGGAATTTATATTTACGACATTAGCCAAACAACAGCACAAACGTTGAGTAGCTTGTTGCAGTTTTTCAATTTTATTTGATCGATGAAAAAATGTTGTCCGAAAAATGTATAAAGTCGGTTTTTCGACTTACTCATCAACGCACAGCCCAATCGGAAAGGACATACTTCCTTTCGTGATGGAAGCGAGATAGAAAGACTTTGTCAATGTTTTAGTTACATATGTACATACATATGTTCATATATGTAATTCCTTACGAGCCCTACTAACATTCTCCTCAATCTTGTCTAGGTACAAATGGTCTGCGAAGACGCGGCCGACAGACATACACCCGCTACCAGACGCTTGAGCTGGAGAAGGAGTTCCACACGAATCACTATCTGACCCGCAGACGGAGAATCGAGATGGCGCACGCCCTCTGCCTGACGGAGCGACAGATCAAGATCTGGTTCCAGAACAGGCGGATGAAGTTGAAAAAGGAGATACAGGCGATCAAGGAGCTGAACGAGCAGGAGAAGCAGGCGCAGGCGCAAAAGGCTGCGGCGGCAGCAGCCGCGGCGGCGGCCGTCCAAGGCGGACACTTAGACCAGAATTAGGCGGAATTACAAAATACAAATACAAAGCAACTCTATATTGTAACAAAAGAACTATTTACTTAAATGAATAATATTTAAATTGCGATGGTAATGTGCGAATACGAAACTAATCTAAAGGCATTATTTCAAGCGTTTGAGAAGCAACCGAAAATACGTAAAACAAAACTACAAACTAATTAAATAGATTAAGTAAACAAAAGTAGTGGAAGAGCGCAACGCAGGCGGATTACAAACCTACTTAGAAGTAAAACTAAAAAATACAAAATATACGAGAACGAACACAATTTTAATTTAGTTTCAAACAAACAAGAATGGAAATTGATTCGCGGCGTAAGATTATGTTTATAAAAATACATACATACATACATATGTAGAAGGTCTTTCCAAATTCGAACAAACCCCTGCCCCGCCCACCCCTTTGTTGCTTACAGGTATGTTTAAATTATGTTTCGCGAAAATACTCAAAAATACAAAAATAAAAAAAACTACGAATATAAATGTTGAAAGAAAGCATAGTTCTGTTGATATGAATTTTTTGGTAAAAAACAAGTTTTAAACCAATTTAAAGATATGTATGTAACAGAAAGAAGGAAAACAAAACAAAAATGATTGAAAAGCAACCTATTAAAATGTAACTTAAATATAAATAGAATTTGTTAGCAAAGTAAAATATTACGAGAGGGAAACCGAAGTGGAACGTATTGAAGGATACTCGTATGATATTTGAATGTGTATAGTTTGTGCTAATGGAATAAAATAATGCAATTTTAGTTAACTCTGTTTATTTGTAAACGAATTTGTTTAGTTCGCGCCGAAGTTCGACTAAACTGAAGCTGTTTCTTTAAGTAATGTGTAGTGTTTTTAACTCTTAAATTAAATTAATTCCTAATTTTATTATTATGTTTAGTTTAATGACAAAGCGTTGATGAGATTATCCGACAGTAGCCCCGAGAAGGAGGACGACAAATCGTTTGCCCTGGCAAACGAAAATAAATTATTGGTTTTGAAAAAATCTAAAAAACAAAGAGAAAACGAATTAATTATTGTGTTATTATTATTTTTATTTTTATTTTTATTTTAGCTATACCATCTTGTTTTTCTCCATTTGTTTCTCTCGTCTCTGGATAGAGCATAGAAACAGAGACCAGAGACCAGAGACCAGAATATTTGAGAAATAGTAGTTCGCGAGCTCGCTTTGTTTTCCCGCTCGCATGCGAAATTGCTTTTGATCTCGTTCCGTTAATTGATCGTAAGTTGTATGCTAAAGAGAGATATGATACCCGTGACCCCATACCCATACCCATACCCATACCCATACCGATAAGGATAACGGTACCGTTCCCGATACCAATATATAGTTTAGTTGATTCAACGAGCTGTGCTCGAACCAAGCCACAAGATACATCTAACCCGACGTGTATCGAGTCTTTCTTCGTCTTTCAGTTCAGTTCGGGAACTTATCCCCAATTTATTGAGGGTTATCCCTCAAGAAAGAAAACCCACACAAGATGTATACGTAATTAGAGCCTAAGATTCGAATATAGATATACACATATGCAGATCTTGATATACATATATACATATATATACATTTATGTATTTACGTGGAAATCAAGTATAAATGGACAAACAATAAGAGAGAAAATATCTGCGGAACGGAAACAGATGCAAATACGTAACTAAGAAATAAGTTAAATGTTATAGATTTTAGATGCAAAGGCAGCGGCAGCGGCAAAGGCCAACGCCAACGCCAACGAGGATGCAACCGAAATACGTTGATGTATACATACACTGAAACAAAAAATTAAAAGAAGAGCAGCGTGGATCGAGAGGGTATTCCATTCCCCGCCACCGTAAACCCCAGAATAGACGCTAAAATACAATACTTACAGATTTAAATGTGGATTAACTTAGTAACAGATATACGTAAATAGTAACAGTACAGTACAATATCTAGTACTACCCCCCTACCAACTACTTAAAAATGTAATAATACCACGTACTAAAGTGCGTAATTTCTAGTGGCTTTTACTTTAATCTCCGACCCGCAGACAGACGGAGGCCGAAGAGATATTTGAGATACTTCTTCTCCTCAATATGTATTTCCGTCAGACCTATCTACAACTTCTTTGCCGTTACATTTTCTACTTGAACTCTACTTCCCCATCCCCCCGCATAAGGGGGGTCCAGATCTCCGATCACTCGGGCCCCGCCAACACTCCGTTTATACTTAACCTACTCGTATGTAACTCTAATTTAAAGCCATTCTATGCTAGCTCCGTAAGTTGTAAATTATCAATATAAAATATACGTATAAAAGAACAAACACAAAACAAACAGCAACCAGTGAGAATGTGGAAATGAAACAAATAAATTAAACAAAACGATTTAAACCATTTTTGATTCAATTTTGGATTTTGGACTTCCAGCTGAAGCTGAAGCTGGAAATCGCTGTGCCCGAAATGTGTTAATCAAATGCACTGGAAAGACTTTGTTGATCATTTATCTGAAAATTATCTCTTTAAATACATATATGTATATGTACATATGTATCAATGTGCGTTCTATTATTCACTTTCTCTGAACATACCATCTAAACGGAGGGTCCCTTTTCGCCAAATTCTTCGCATCTTCAATACGTACATACATATGTATCTTCCACGTTTTGGAGTGAGGAGCAACCAATTACACTAGGCAACAAAATTGAAAATAGAATTTCCGCTTCGAACAAAACCGTTTCTCTAATAATTAGAGTTGCCAGATCTAGTGCAATACATCAGTGTTATGAGTCTCTCCATATTTACGGTATATTTTGAAAATGAGGCGGTATGCTTCGGTATATTTCTGAGGGTCGGACGGTATATTTTATTGATAAATCCGCGGTCACACTGCCCACTACTCCGCCCTGCCTCAGCCCCCTGAAGACGAATTCTTTAGAGGATGGGGGTGGAACAGCTGGTTCGGACACCGGCGTTTCAGGATTCTGGCGTCTGGTGCGTCTGTGCCGTGTGGAATGGGGCCTGCTCCACCTCTGCCTGTACATGTGCCTGCCGCCTTCCTGCTGTTCTCGCGCCAGTACAGCGAGGGGATACCCTTCAGGATGTGGGCGATGCGTACGCCCTAAACGTGTCGGTGGCGGAGCGGTGCATCTACTGGACTGACCAGCCACATCCACTGGTCCGTCTCATCGAGGTCGCCCGCCTGGATGGCAGCTGTCGGCGCGTCCTCTTGTGGAAAGGTTTGTAGTAGCCGCGTTCCCTGGTCCTCGAGCCGCGTCGCGGGGGTACATGTACATGAGCAGACTCCATACGCCGCGCCACAATGGACGGATCCAACCAGCAACCATGGCCGGGAGTTTATATTCGACCAGGAGACGAGACGAACTGGTTGGCTGCTAGGACTACGTGTACTGGAGCGACTGGAGCACCGGGGACATTGATCAAGACGGGCCAGAGCCGCAGCCTGGCCAAGGACGTGACCTGCATCCCCCAGCTACGACGGACTGCCCGAATGTGCCGCTGCCCAGGTGAAGCTCTCTCGCCTATTCAGCTGTGTTCTAAAACGTTTCCTCTTTTAGCTTCTTGGGCGAACTCGCAGAAGCCTCGAAACATTGCCGTGCATGCCACGAAGGCGAGGCGTCTGCTCTTCTCGACAGATGTCGGCAGCCATCAGGCCATCATTCGGGCCCGAGTCGATGGCAATGAGCGTATGGAGCTGGAAGGAGGAGTCACTGTGCTGACCCTGGACCAACAGTTATACCATGCGTATCAAAGTTATAGACATCAATGGGAAGAACAAGTAAGCTACCATATTGGACACCTCTGGACACATATGAAATCTCCTGTTCTCTCTCTACAGAAAAACCTTTGCTTCCATGCATATCCTGCAGGTGAACAACATTACTGCCTAGGGGGGATTTGTGTACTACTGCTGGACGACAAGACCGGACTGCAGAGGATCACTGTTAACGGAGAGCGTCGTTCCGTAGAGCTGCAGCGTCTGTCGCATTTCACGGACATCTGGGTCGTGTGGACACCGGATGCAGTCACGCAGTACTCACGACGACTGCTCGTGCCCCAAGCATCTGATGCTAATGGAAGATAATTTTAAGTGGCGGGAGTAGTGAAATGAGCAACGACTGTATATCCGCCTCCTGGCGCTGTGACGAAAGGACTGCCCGACGGATCAGTTAAGCTGACAGTCAGCCGAGGGCAGCGACAAGGCTCTGATCTGCGATGGTACCACCTGTGACAACTGTGACAATGTCCATGAGGCCGACTGCTGCAAGCAGCCAGGAGAGTTTCAGTGTCCCATCAACCAGGTGAGTGGAAAGACACGATATCTGCCCAAATTCCTAAACTAACAATATCCTACTCCACCTTCCCACCTTCTACTAACTACTTCCTTGGATGTTTCTCCCAAAGATTTCTTTCGTGCTACAAGAAAACCTTTGTTTATGGAAAATCCAATAAAAACGAGTATTTAAATTAAGCCAATCAAGTAGAAAATTGATTCATCAATTGTATAGAATTATTTGGGCATGGCTAAATGTTCTATATAGCTGGTAATATTCCTTACCAGTTGTCTGTTATATCGCCATGTATCTTTGAGGTTATATGCAAACTTACTCATTTCTTAAGAGACTGGAACTAAAGCCGCAACTGTTGTATCAAATTCAATCTAGCTGCTCTTCACACTAAAATCAAGTCCGATCTGACGCTCTTTAAGCTTCAAGATTATTTTAAGAGTATTCATCATATTATAAGATTCAGCTAAAACGTATATTGAGTCAGTTCGATTTGTGAGCTCGGTCGGATTCGTTCAATGTTCGGTAGCGAGTGCTGTCCGATGGATTTAATATCAACACGCATTTAAGCCAAACATAAAGACACACTTGTAGGGAGTAGCGATTGTTATGTACTTATGTACATATGTCCGTGTGCTTCATTGACACTCCATAGAAATCAGCTTCAAAACGGAAAGAATGAAGCTTAAATTATATTTATCGAATTTATTGTACTTATGGGCGGTAGTGACGTTAAGGTCCAGAGCAAGTGAGTAAAGTTCGAAATGATAATAGGAACCATACGAAAATAAACATATACTATGTACAGAATATTCACAATGTATGCTACGTATAGTACACAATTCACGCTCACAGCTTTATTTACTCTCTGAGCACGTCTTCCAGCATGTTGATGCACGATGCTAAAACAAGATTTGAGGCGGTTCATCTTGAGATCTCTCGTATTATTTCCATACAAAATCTCTCTCTCTCTCCCTGCTTGTATTATTCTAAGAGAGATAAAACAGTATGCTGAAACTGTGTTCGGATTGAGTGGTGTCGGAAATAAACTAAACGAGGGGGAACGTTGTGAGTTGCTGCGGACGCCGCACTGATAGGGACGGACAAACAGACAGGGCTCAATCGACCGGCTATTGATGCTGATCAAGAATATACATATATACTTTATGGGGTCGGAAACGATTCCTTCTGGACGTTACACACATCCATTTTCTACTCATTTTGAGTATCGGGTATAAAAATAAATATGCAAAACATTTAATCAAACACTTGATGCAGGGACAGCATAAAACTAACTAACTAGAACTCGACTAGCGAAATCCAAAAAAAAATTAATGGAGTACATTTGGATTTCTGAGATCTGAAGGGCAACATATTAAGCAAAGCAAGGTTCTGACAAGAGCCGAATACTATCGTTGGTACAATTTTTTAACAATTTTTAATTACAGTAAACGCTCAATGTTCGACTTCCCAGTTTGCGTGCGAAAATGGCGGTTGCATTTCGCAATTCGACGTTTGCAACGGCGTGAAGAACTGCCCCGACGGATCGGACGAAACCCCGCTGACGTGTATCTCCCAGCGGCAGCACTGTTTGAAGCCCTACTTCCAGTGCAGCTACGGCGCTTGTGTCATAGGAACAGCCGGATGCAACGGAGTCAAAGATTGCGCAGATGGCTCCGATGAAACGGTTTTGCGCTGTGGCAACGAGGACGATTTGCGACAGTTCGACCGCCGTTCACAGGGTAATTGTCAGTGAGTAGAAGACTAGTAGTAGAAGAGGCCGCAATCGGTAATTTTACTCAATTATCAAATCTTGCAGAGACGACGAGATCAAATGCCCATCTGGCATATGCCTAGACAAAAGCAGGTCTCTCTGTGACGGCAAGGACGACTGCGGAGACGGCACCGGCTTCGACGAGTCGGTGGATTTGTGCGGGCACCTGGAGTGCCCGGGCTACTCCTTCAAGTGTGGCACCGGCGGCTGTATTTCGGGAGCCCTGAGTTGTAATGGACAGAACGATTGCTTCGATGGCTCGGACGAAGCCCCACTCCTGTGCAACACTACCAAGAAGGTGACTTCACCTACCCCCGTCGTCATACCGCTGGAGCAACTAGGCTGTTCCTTGCCGCTGGAAGATGAACGCCCAATTCTAAAGGATCACTACGATCGTGTTCTCCTTCCGCCGATCACCAGTGGCACGGTCCGCTTCTCCTGCCAACCCGGCTACATATTAGAGGGCCTCGAAATAAGTCACTGCGCTAACAGACAGTGGAGTTCTGAGACAGTGCCGAAGTGCGTGAGTGAGTAGATCCCTAGATCCCCACCCTGCCGATATCAACTCTTAAAGCCTTCTCCGCTTTTCCCTGCAGAATACTGTGATTCCAAGGGCGAGTTCGATGGGTATTCCACCAAGGCCATATGCACATCCGCTGGACAGAACGTCGACTGCAGTCAGCGCTATCATCCGCCAGGCACTGAGGTCAAGTTTGTATGTGCCACCGGCTTCCAGACTCGCCGCACCACTCTCCCGGATATGAAGTGCATGAAAGGGGGGTACTGGAATCGCCAACGGCAACGCTGCGACCAGGAGTGTGGCCAGATAGCCACGCCAACCAAGAGCTTCTCGGCCAACGGGTACACCATCAACAACACTGTGGTCCCGTGGCATGTGGGCCTCTACGTTTGGCACACTGAGAAGAGCTATAGCTTCATGTGTGGCGGTTCGCTGCTGACGCCGGACCTGGTGATCACTGCTGCCCACTGCGTGTACGATGAAACGGTACGGCGGGCCTACAGCTATGACACGTTCCGCGTAATAGCAGCGAAATTTTATCGGAACTACAAGAATACTACCAGCGATGAGCGCTGGCAGGACGTGCGGGACATCATTATAGCGCCGTACGTACAGTTCAGACAAGCTCTCGCAGATGGTTTATTACCATAATGTTTATTACAGTGGCTACAAGGGCAGGACGAACAACTACTTCAACGATCTAGCCTTGCTAGTTCTGGTCGAGCCCTTCGAGTTCAGCCACGTCATTCGGCCGATCTGCGTCCATTTCTCAGAGTTTGCCGAGAAGGAGACCATTAATAACGATGTACAGGGCAAATTCGCTGGCTGGAGCATCGAGGATAAGCGCGAGCTGCAGTTTGTGCCGGCAGTGTCCAAGATGAACTCCGTGTGCCTGCAAAATTTCCCAGACATTCAATCGGACAAATTTTGCATCTTCACACAGGGCAAGTCGCTGGCGTGTCGGGGCGATAGTGGCGGTGGATTCACCGCCGTCCGCCAGTCCTACGCTTTCTCCCGAGACACTTCCCGCCATTTCCTGTACGGTATCATCAGCAACGCACCCAATGCAGATCAGTGCGCCCACAGTCTGACTATACTGACCAACATACAGCACTTTAATAAAATAATAACCACTGCAATCGAAAATAGCATAAATACCAGATCCTGAGCGCAGAGTTCTCAGCTGTGACCTAGACTAGAGTATATCCAAGGCTGGATATTTATATATATACATATCTACGATTATTTTGTTTAAGATTCAAATAAAACGAATTAGAACCGATGCAAGAGTTAGCCGTGCAAAAGAAAATTCTATGGGTGCGTTTAATCATTAGGCAATAACTATTTATTAGGGTTCTTAATGCATGAGCTCCAAGAATAAGCGATACTTTATTGTGGTGAGTTTATGATAATGATGTTGAGAGAGTAAAACAGCGTAAGATTGTCCATAGTTCGAGACTCATGCAAGTACATAATTCTTTCTTAATTCAAAGGCATATTTTAGTATTTCATATTTTAGTATAAATAAATCGATTAATTAAGACGGTAACAACAAGAAAAAGTTTGACCGAACAAATACTAATTAATAATTTAAATAGTGTTTAAATGTATTGATTAGAGATGAGATGAGACTTATCTAGTTCTTTGTTTTAGCCGATTCTCGGATGTTGAACTTGGGCACACGATCTTTCTTGGCCAGTATCTTGTTTGAATTGTCCTCTATATTAATCGTGCTGATAATGAGATTGACTCTACGCTCTATTACGCCAATGAACAGCTTTACATTGTGGACAGTTAGAAAGGTCTTGGTGCTAAGGACGTTGAGGATGGGAGCGTCGTCGCAGGCCAATTGTCTGGGAATTGTTTTTATTTAGTTACAGAACTTGACTATCCTCCTTGCCAATATCAAAAATCTTACCTGAATATATCCTCGATCCCCTTAAGTAGTTGCTCAAGTCTGATGCTCAGAGTTTGCTTCTTTTCGCTGGTCTCCTTGGCCAGTTGTTCAATGCGACCCCGCTCTGCATTTAAATAATCCAACGCCTCGGTCTTTAGCTTCAACTCTTTCTCGGTCTGCTCCGATTTTTGTCGTTCTATGGTAATTGTCGTTAATATGAGTGTAGATTTGACCACATCACGTGTAACCCACCTATTTCATCAGTTAATTCTTGAGTGGAATCGTTTAACACCTCCACCTCGTGACTTAGCTCATTAACGTAATTAAAAAGAGCGAAGTTCTCATCCTCCTGGCGCTTAAACTGAGCCACCAAGCGGTCCGGATCTTCTTCGCCATACAACTGCTTGATCTTCTCAATTATCTCCTTGTATTCGAAAAGTTGTCGCTCATAGTTTTCCTTTTGATTCTGCTTCTTATCCAACTCTCGCTGCTCTAGCTCTGGATTAAGCCGCTTTTGCCCCTTGATGTCGAAAAACTTCTGAAGCTTGGCATCGTGCTCCAGACGCCTCTGCATCTCACGCATCTCCTGGATGTGCATCACCTTGTCATTCTCATTGCGGTCCTTCAGAACGGACAACTTGTTGCAAAGCTCCTCGCGCTGATCGAAGGCCAGCGTTGATTGGTCAATCAAGTCCATTATGAATTTCTTACCCTCATTGAACTGAGTGACCATCGCTTGCCACATATCATTGAAGTTAGCCCTGAAGCAATCGGCACATTTAAAGCGTTTGTGGGGCCTTCCCAGTTGTCAAAAACGTCTCACCGATCTTGCAGCATGTGGTTTATGGTATCTCGCATTTTGCTGTTCTCTGTGAGGACATCGCTGCACTTTTTGTTGACCACATCCAGACGGTTCTCCAGCTTGACAACGCTTTTTTGAACCGTGCAAATTGTGTGCTTGTAGCAGCTGTCGGGCACCTCATTACGACGAAGACCGTCGATTTCCTTTTCCATTTTCCGTATGTGCCCCTCCAGCTCCCACAGATTGGTTCGCTCGTTTTGAAGCACCCTCTGCAGATCCGTCTGCTGTCTCTGCAGTGCTCCCAGATGCCGTTCCTTCTGCAATTAGAGTACAACTTAGGGTATCCCTATTAATCCGACTCCCACTCACATTTGTGTTTTTCCGTGCGTGCGTTCCACCCTCCAAAGTCTTGATCTCTTCCTTCAACTTCTGATGCTCGACCTGCAGAACGTTTATCATGTTATTTTGCTTCTTCAGTCGCTTGGCTTTTTCTTCTAGCAGGCCTCGAAGATCAAGTTGAAGCGATCGATGTTGTCTCTGGAGCCTCAGCAACTCTGCTGTGGCCAACTGGTCCAGTTCGCTTTGGTCCGCCATGATGTAAGTACGATTATTCAAACGATTTCCTTGATTCCCTTGATTCCTTGATAATTTTACATCTATTGATTTCAATTGTAAACAGCGTTGCTGCGGTATTGTCGCTTAGCTACGGTTCATGGCTTGCGCTGTTTCCTTCGGCATATTAATATTTCAGTGCAGTCCAACTGAAAAATGTATGCGTATGTATTTTGCTGAGTGGAATTATGTTGTAATTGAATTTTAGAGTTACGATTTTATGCGAATCAGCGACAAGGACCGCCGCTCTACTTTTAATCTTCGTACTCAGATGCGGCTGCTCACTCTCTCTCTGGCATCTACCTTTTGGTATTATGTATATGTTGACGCTTTTTTATTAAAATTGGGGTTTTTCTTGCCTATTTTATATACTTGATACACCGCAACAGAACTTGCTTCCCCTGTCTTCTGGGAGATCTCAGCTTCGGGTGGAAGCTCTCACATTTGGTTCTCTTCTGGAATTGTGAATATGTTTGTCATCCCAGGCAAAAACAATTTATTTTCAATATATTTTAATATTATTCAATATTATTTAATATTATTTTCAATATTTCAACGATATTTTAAAGCTTATTGTCTAAAAAATTTCAATTTGAGAAAAGGTCTAGTTACGTTATATCCGCATATCAATATTTATACTTTCATATAAAATTAACAAAATAGGGTATACAAAGGCCTATACTACGGCGTACACTTACAATATAGCGACTCTTTTTTTGTTGAACTTTTTCGTTTAAACCTTTTTTTACAATAAATACAATAAAAGCAAGGATTAAAAACTATCCAATCTTGTAGAAAATTTATTCATCAATGGGATAAAACTATGTGGGCATTGCTGAGAGATTTAGTTAGTCAGCATTATTCAATGGAATATCAAAATTGAGCAATTTCTTTTCGCTACTTGTTTTGGTTTGACTTATTTCGCTAAAATCTCTTTTTACGCAAAATGCAATAAAAGCAAGTATTAAGAATACACCAGTTAAATAAAAAATTGATTCATCAATCGTATAAAATTATGATGGCATGGCTGAATGTTCTATATAGCTAGTAATATTCGTCGGAATATCAAAAACGTGGAATATGTAAAATAGAACTTCAATTCGTCAGTATATTTACGGTATATTTTGAAAATGAGGCGGTATGTGTCGGTATATTTCTGAGGGTCGGACGGTATATTTTATCGATAAATCCGCGGTCACATTGCTCCAAACTTATCAATGTTATCAATGGGAAAATGTTGACGCTGCATACAAAAACTGAGAATGACCGATTCGCGGTCTATTTGGATCACAGAAGACTTATTAATGAAGCCTACAGTACTGGAGATGGTGCGAAAAGTACATATCAGCTCAAGGCGGAACTGTTTCAGTTTCAAGCCAAAAGAGCTAACCAGCCGATTAGCGAACAGAAGAAATCTAAGAAGCGCAAGCGAATACCGGACAACATACCAGGCGCATCGGATTCACAGACCATCGACGGGTACCTGGATCTCTTGCCCACGCGCGTTGACTCTGAGTCAATAACGCCTCTATCACGGTGTTGGGAGGCTCCATACATCCTTCCCCAGTTGCACGGAGCCAACCAGAGCGGGCAGGTCCAACGCTTTCCAAGCGGAGACGAGGCCAACACCATCTACCTCATACCGGACAGGGCTCGCTTCTACAACCACAATGTAGACCATCTGCCGGCACTATTGCCCCAACTCTTGCCCAGCTACGATCTGATTGTAGTCGATCCTCCGTGGCGCAACAAATACATTCGCCGGCTGAAGCGTTTCAAGCAGGAGCTCGGTTATTCCATGCTAGACAACGACCAACTGGCTCTTCTGCCGCTTTCCAAGCTGACCAATACACGTACCCTTGTGGCCATTTGGTGCACGAACTCAATCCAGCACCAGACGGCTTTGGAAACACAAATTTTGCCTAGCTGGAATCTACGCCTACTCCACAAACTGCGCTGGTACAAACTAAGCACGGACCACAAGCTTATTGGCCCTCTTCAATCAGACCCCACCCAGAAGCAGCCGTATGAAATGCTATATTTGGCCTGTCATGCCGATGGCCACGAGAATTATGGAACGGATATAACAAAAACAGAGATGATCCTCAGCATTCCCAGTATTGTACACTCTCATAAGCCGCCCCTTTTGCCATGGCTGCGCCAGCATATCAAATTGGACCTCAATCAAGCGGAACCCAACTGTCTAGAGCTTTTTGCACGGTATCTGCAGCCACAGTTTACATCCATTGGATTAGAGGTACATAAATATAATTCCATGAATAACAACTAAAACGAACTTAACAGAGACTATATTTAAAAAAGGTACTAAAGTTGATGGATGAGCGCCTGTACGAAGCTCGTACCGAACTATCAAAATCCCCATAGGTAAAGTTTAGGTATGGTATGCCAAGGTATACACTAGTTGTATTGAGTTTTCCTATGACCTCCGCCACTCCTCGTTCATCTTTTATGCTGGCCGCAGATAATAGACTGTATATAATCTGAACATATGTCCCAAAGTATGTACTTTAAATCGTCATGGACAGTAACTCACTAGCTTAAATGCTGGCTTCTAGTCAGTAGTTGAAGTAAGTAAATCATTAAAAATAAACAGTGCTTGATTTTGACAGTTTTATTTGTATACGGATTGTTAATGAGAGAAAATGCAGCGCAAAATTTTGTGTGGGAGACAAGGGGCAATCTGCCTGGGTCTCTTAGCCCAAGATAAATGTTAGACATTTGGGTGTGATTGGTGTATGTGTGTTTTGTGTGTTAAATTAGATATTACAATTTATTAAGCATTATTAATACACATTGTGTTTGTTCAAAGACTATTCCTGGCCTTGGGCCATGGCGGCCGGATTGGTGGGCTCGTTGCCACCACGCTTCTTTGAGCCGGAAACAATGTCATCAATGCGCAGCAACAAGATGGCTGTTTCCACGGCGGTTTTATAGGTCTGCAGTTTGACGGCCAACGGCTCCCAAATGTTCTTCACGTTCATATCAACAATCTCGCCGGACTCGCCATCAATGCCCCAGGCGCACACACCGTCGCCGGTGTGGGAAGCATGCTTGGCACGCAGGGCGGTGAGAGCGCGAATAGTGTTGGCACCACAGTTTTGGGCCAGGGTTCGAGGTATGATCTCCAGGGCATGAGCCACCGCGGTATAGGGCCCCTTAACTTGCTTGCGCGAAAGAAGCTGTGAGGCAGCCATCTCCACAGCCCCACCGCCAGCCACAAGACGCGGCTCCAACACCAGATTGCGAGCAACATTCAAGGCATCTTGGAGATTGCGCTCAGTTTCATTGAGAATATCCTTGCTGGCACCGCGCAACAGTATGGTGCATGCCTTCGGGTCCTTGCACTCCGTGACAAAGGTAAAGTACTCATCGCCAATTTTCTTGATCTCAAAGAGACCGGCTCCAGTTCCAACATCCTTCTCGGTCAGCTCTTCAGTACGGTTGACAATGGTGGCTCCACAGGCCCGGGCAATGCGCAAGTTGTCCGTCTTGCGCAGGCGACGGATGGCAGTGATGCCTGCCTTCAGGAGATAGTGTTGCGCCAGATCCGAAACACCCTTCTCAGTGAAAACAAGATCCGGCTTGACGGCGATGATGTCAGCACAGATGCGCTGGACAAACTCTTCCTCGATCTGCAACATGCGAGTGAAGTCCTGCTCTCCAATGATTTCTACATTGGTCTGACTCTCTCCTTTTTTGTATTCGAGAGAGCAGTCGAGCAGAACGATGCGAGGATTCTCAATATAGCGACGCATTTTAGGATGCGTCACATCCTTGTTGATCATAACGCCCTTCAGAACACACGACTCTTCGATGGCACCACCCGGAATCTTCTCCACCTTGGCATAACTGTCGGGATGAAAATACTCTAAAAATGGAATCCATAAACGAAAATCAAGCCCTTACCGCTTGATGTCCACCTCCAAACGGCCGTTTTCATTAAGCGTAACTGTCTCCACTGCATCCAGTGCAATTTTGACAGCCAAATCCGACCACTTGCCAATGAATTTCGTACCAACACAGGCCTTGACCACTTGAGCCATCTTTGCCTTGTCCTTGACGTCCAACTCCACACTTAGGCCGGACAGCAAGTGACCCACGATGTCTTCGAGGGCCTCACGGTAGGCGCGAATGATCACTGTAGGATGGATTTGCTGCTGAAGGAAAGGCTCGGCGGCGGCAAGCATCTCACCAGCCAGCACAATAACGGAGGTGGTACCATCGCCTACCTCTTCGTCCTGTGTGCGGGCTATTTCAATCATGCTCTTTGCCGCCGGATGCTGAACGGTGATCTCACGGAGTATGGCATTTCCGTCGTTTGTCATTACAATGCCGCCCATGGGATCCATCAGCATTTTCAGCATTGCCTGTGGTCCTAGGCAAGTGCGAATCACATCGGCAATAGCCTAGAAAACAGCAATAATGTCAGCAGATGGCCACCAACGCAGGCGAGGAGCTCTCTACAAACCCAGCCATGTGAGTCACACACGAACACACTTACCTTTCCGGCTTGAATATTCTCCAACTGCACTTTGCGGCCAGATTCGCGTTTTGTGTTTTGACCTACGGACAAAGATTGTAGGCCCTGGCGACTTTAAATTGATTAAAATTCAATACTTACTCAACACGAGTATTGGTTGCTGTCCACCAAACATTTTTTTATATTCTTTAATTTATCTCTACGTGAAAACAAAAGAACTCGTGCTGCTGTCGCTGCCGCTGTTTGAAGAATGAGTGAGGTTATAGACGCCGATGACACACGATTCTAGAAGATTCGATAAATATTTAATTGCAATGTCTAGTTTTACTGATCTTGGCCTCTTCTATAACAATTTGGTAATAATTATAATTTACGCACTTGATATTTTGATTTAAAATCAAAGATATTGTTCAAAGTTTGAGTTTACCGTGGAACAATCGTGTTTCTGTCGATAGATTGAAAAGTGAGTTGGCATCCCAGTAGTTACCAGCTGTGGAGGCAATGAATGCAGATGGTTATTTTTCACTGGAAATCAGCTATAAAAGAAATAATTTGTACACATACATGATCATTGTAGTCATAATTAAGGATTCCGACTCATCCCGTACAAGCTCGTTTTAATAGAATAAATAAAATATCCTATCGGTATATTGAAGAGAGAGTTGGCATCCTCGTTGTTTATCAGCTGTTGCGGTTTTGTTTATAAATCTTTTGTACACTATAAATATACAAAGGGATAAATAAAAACGCCGTGCAAGCCATGGACACAAACAAAATATCATTTGGCTTTATTAAAGTGACCAAGAAGCCGAACATTTTGCCCAGCAAAGTCGCAAAAGAGGAAAACAGAGTGGAGCTCATAAAATGCGTGGAGGGAAAGGAAATCAAGCTGGTCGCGTAAGTGAATACATACTTTTCTCACAAAAAACCATTTAATTCAAGGGCTTCTGGTTTTTCAGCGAAAGAGCAGAGGCTGCGCCACTGGTTATACAAATGCAGCGCAATCAAAAGACCTCTTCGGCGCTTGCAAGTTTAATGAAAAGGAGGCAAGTTCTGCTTGGAGAGGATGAGCCAGATCCCGATGAGTCGACATCCGCACCTCAATCAATTGCTGAGGTCACTGCAGCAACTTCGACTGACAGTCTGGAGCAAAGGGCAGCACGGGAATTGCTAGCTGCTGCCCAAGCCAATGGAAGCGAAAATCTGAAGGGGGAGAAGCTCGTCCTGCCTGCCGTAAAGGCGGATGATCTACCCCTAGAAGGTGCCAAAGAAGCCAGCTTAGATGATTATGAATCCATACCCATTCAACAGTTTGGCCTGGCCATGCTGCGTGGCATGGGGTGGGTAGACCCCCCACCCAAAAAAAAAGGATCAGCACCTGTTGACGAGGCGCCATTCCTGCGGCCAAAGGGCATGGGCCTTGGAGCTGACAAGGCACTCAAACCCATGGCCCTTCTTGTGCAGCCGGAAAATAATGAGGTGCTGGAGATCAAAAAGCAAGCATTTGTCCGCATCCTAGGTGGAAAACAAAAGGATCAATACGGGCAAATAGAGGGATTCGATGACCATGCGGGGCGAGTGATTGTCAAAATGGCAATTGGTGGCAACAAGGAGGCATTCAATGAGTTTCTCTGTCAGCCAGTATCCCGGAAGGAGTACTCGCAGTATGGAAAGTGCATAAGTAAGTGAACTCAAGAGAAATCAAAGAAATGAAACCATAACTAAAAATTGAGATTCGAATTTCAGATAGTGCCAAATACAATGAGTTCAAAAAGCAGGAGAACGAACATGGCCAAATCATTGTGAGGCAGGAAAAACCATCGGAAGTCAGACACAGAGACCGTAGGGAGGAGAGCAAGTCGAATAGGAATGAAGATAGGGAGCGAAAAAGCTTTAAGAAGGAGCATCAGAGATCATTTAAAGATGAAGACCGACGGAGCTGCAAGGATGAAGACCGCAAGTCATTAAAAGCGGAAAATGACAGGTCGGAGAAAGTCGAAAGCAGACCCAACAAGGCGGAGGATCGAAAGCCACAAAAACTGGAGGACCACGGAGAAAGAAAGAAATATATCCAGGACCCGCGAAGCAGCAGTACTTCCACATCCAGGCCGAGCACCATACATGAGCGTGAGCGGCGTCGATCACCGAGCCCAAGAAGCAGTCGGAGACAGAAGAGCAGCTCAGACGAGGCGGACGACACTGGAGAGTCCACGGAAAGTGATTCGGACTCGGCCTACGAGCGCAAAAAATACAAAAAAAAGTCTACTAAGAAGTCCAAGAAGCACGCAAAGAAATCTAAGAACAAGACGTGTCGGGCCAATGACTCCAGCGCGGAAAGCGATGATAGCTTGGAAGATCATCGCCGGCACCCAACGAAGCACAAAAAGAAAACAAAGAAGAGCAAGCATGCCCGATCACGGTCCAGATCGCGGGGACGGGGCAAATAATAGGCTGATTTTATCTATTCATTTGAATTCTTTATTTAATATAGTTAGACGCTTAGGTCTCATTTGTATCTTAGGCGGAATTATCATTAAATTTCAGTTAACTCAAAATAATCACAAAAATGTCTTTTGTTGCGCTTTCTATTTCTCACACCAGTCGCCTCTTAACCAATCAGACAATCTTTTGTTACTAAGAACTTAAAGTGTAAAATATGTTGGAGCTACCGCCACGATGGGCTCTTCGAGAGTTGAGATGTAGAGATGGATTACTTATTGTTTATGATATAAATAGTTCTTGCGATGCTCCACAGTTCCACATATGTTTTTGTTTTGTAAATGCGTATGCAATGTGCTTGGTGTGATGGCAAGTTGAAGATGACTTAGGTTTGTTTAATATTTGGTCATACGTGATGGCTGTGTGTGGTGCATACGTGACGAGGAGGAGCAGCTGCTTAGGTTTCTACTGCAGCTTCCGTTTGCCGCATTGAATTTTCTCGTTGATAATCTTGGAGGCCTTCTTTGTGATGCCCTTGAAGACATCCTTTTCCTGCAGACCAGGCCACATGGCAATGAGAAGAGTACCCAAGTACATCAACAGAAGATTGTTGACGATGGCTCCAATCCAAGCCAGGGCCAGGAGGAACACGCCTATCATGATCACGAACTGGGGAGGTGAGCGAATCCCAAGATTTAATACGTTTGTGGGAACCAATTGAGTACTCATTTGTGTACTCACCACTGTCGACTTGCGCTCCTTGAATAGATACTCATACCATACGACCAGGTTTGCTTTGATGCTGTACATCTGTCCGCACACATCCTCGAACTTAGCCTCGTGGTCTCCGTCCCAATTGTCACCACTAAAGAGCAAGCGGGAAATTGTAGGGAAGACATAGTCCAAAACGGTAGTCAGCAGTGCCAGGAGGGACAGCATCGTTATGACCGATAGATCCATGTACCAGAGTACGAGAAAAATTACGCTTATGCTGCCAAATACCACCCCTGGGTAGTAATTTTTCTCCCAGGTGAGAACGCCATAAGCACTCACTATAGCTGTTCGAAAAGGCTCCAAATCATGCTTGAGCTTGTTCAGTGCGCGCTTCTGCAATGTTAAATTTTCATTAAAATTGAGGCGGCGTGTTTTTGGGTAAATTTTTTCCATAATGGCGACGCTATTTACCCAGCTGCATTTCGAGTTCAGCGCATCGACATTTACTAACCTGATCAACCTGCGAAGTTGTCATCTTTGCTGTTCTTTGTTTCGTTTCGACTTGGATTGCAGTTGTAAACGTTAGTTGTTGCCTTTTATTAAAGTGAAAAATCAATTTGTTTAGCGCCAGCCAACGCCAACGCTGTGAAAGCAGTGTTAACAACGCCAAAAGGCAACTTAATCGAGCTTTTCCCGATTACTCGTTCACTACTCGATAGATTTGAAAGTGACTTGAACAAATTTGTGAGCACAAGCTAAAAAATTGTATTTATTATTTATTTTATTAATTCATAAACTACAACATGAGCTGTCCTGGATTTGGCGAAGTTAATATACCCTCGTCGCGCGCCTTTTGGGACGACTGCGAGGAGGACGAATTTGAGAATGTCGGCCAGGCCGAGAAGTGAGCGATTCTGTACTCTGATCCTAGCATATTCCTTATGAATTACTTTCCGAAACAGGTTGCAGCTAAAGTTCGACGGGGAATCTGGCCTGAATGTAGCCGCTCTGCAGAGTGAGATTCTAGTTGTTGTTGAGGGTCCGAGCGTAACACACTTTGGCAGCTCGGTGCTACTGAATGGCACCAAACGAATATGCGGAATTCCTCCGAAGACATCTTCGCTGCACTGGAATCCGACATCCAAACAGCTACTGGCCGTTCTCGAAGATGACCTCACAAGCAGTGGGGAGGTCACAGAGCTGCTCTTACCATATGCCAAATTGGCCAAGAAAGCGGTGACCATCACGCTGAAGTCAAAGGTCGACTTTAAGAGCGAGGAAATTCAAAAATATAGTGACGATATAGCCATTGTACGTGGGGTTGGAGTGAACGAGACGGATACGACTGAGCTAGAGGCTCCCAACTTCATAGCCGGTGTGGCGGCGGGCAGTAAGTACATTGAGGAAGCGACGAAGGACCCCAAATTTCTAAGTTCTTGTGTTTATTACAGTTGCCAGCTGGCGAAATCAGGCGGACCTGCCCGTGAGTTCGTTTGTAGTCTACACTGACAAGCTGCCTTTGGACTCCACGGCTGCCCAACCAGTGCTCAAGCTGCTCAAAGCAGTTGGAGTGTCGTGCAGTCCCAGTTACGTGCCGGCTCGCAAGGAGAGCTCTTACTTATATATGTAAACTAATTGCGGTGCAGATTTTTATTTTTAATGCGGTTTTGGTAGCAACATTTCACAATAATATACAATGATGGACCTGATTTATTTCAATACATCAAACATGCTCAAGTTCAAGTCCCGGCTACGGCTCTCCATGTGAGCCTTGGCGATGGCAATGAATTGCGGGCGCTGGAGCATCGAATAGGCAGGCACTATCAGCGAAGATGCAAGCATATGCAGTTCTTTGTGGCCGCTGCTGAACAAGTCGATGCCCAGCTCCAGGGCACTACCAAAATCGCACTCGTCCACAGCGATAATAGCAGCGTTGGCCACCGGCTGCAGCTTCTCCAGCACAGCTTGCTTGGCAAGGCCATCGCCGAGATCTTTGCGCTCAAATAGTGCCAACATCTTCTTGAGCTCGGCGTCGCTAACAGAGAGAGGACGGTAGCCCAGCTGCGTCTTGCGATCGAAGGGCACCACGATGCCACCTCGGTGGAACGCCTTGGCGACGACGCGTTTGTTGCGCTCTCGTTGCAATCGATCTAGCTGCGCCAGCTCCAATGAGTTTTCCGCCAAATACTTTTGTACTGCCTTTTTGGTGGCGGTCACTTTACCGGTCGTAAAAGGCGTGCCGACAAAGTCGTGCTCCAGATAGTAAAGGAAAGCATCGAATATGTTTCCAGACACAAACTGAAACTCGCAGCCATTGGCCATGTCGTTGCGGGCAATCAATAAGTTTTCCTTATCCTGCGGCACGTCCCTCCAATAGCCGTAGTGAACGCCAGTTCCCCTCCGCACAAAAACCGTCTGGAACTCGGGTGGATCATAGTAAAAGCGCCAATGCCTTAGGTAATCTCCGGGCTCGCCCATCTTGGCCCGATGAAAGGTGCCCGACAGAAACTCAAACGGGCCCACCAGCTGCAACTGAAACACAGTCTCGAGGTGTTCGACGGCAGCGCGATTGGACTTCGAGGAGTCTTCTGTCAGGGTATTGATGAACTTCCAGAATTCGTAGAAGTCAGGCGGCATTTCGACGAGGAATTTGTGCCTAATGAACTCGTTGGACTCACACAGGGTATCGTACTCCTGCTGCACTGACAATCGGATGCGCTTCTCAAGGATTTCCATGTAATTTTTTCCAGATATGTTGCTCATAGCCTCCCTGTGCAATTCGGCTGTCTCCGACTCGAAGGTGCCTTTCGCTTCCCCATGACTCTTTTCCATATTCTGGCTCTCTCCACTGGAATTGCTTGTGTTGGGCGCGACAGCCTTTTCCTCCCCGCAGAACGCTTCCTTTCTTTTTGGCGCCAGTTTTACTACTTCTGCTTTGTCCTGCCCGTCATCTGTTTTGGCTGGGTGGTTGTACTTGGCGAGATGGGCAGCATTTCGTTGATAGCACTTTTCTCCGTATTTGCAGTCCTCTTTTGGCATTTTCAGTTTAAGATAATAAATGATTCAACAATTGGTGTAAACAAAAGAATAACAAACAAACTTCTCTGTGCAAAAAAGATATTTTTCAGTGAAGCAGTTCACGTGTTGAAAAACGTCAATGTTTCTGTCTATTTTTTGACGGTCTGGCAACATCCGACGATTTGGATTTGAGGGATTTAGTTTGGTTTTAATATTGTAGTTCATTCAATGAATACAAACTGCGAAAACATCGAAGAAATTTTGATGGTTGGATTGTTAGTAGAGCTACAGGTATATATGGGCAGGCGTTTTATAATAAAACACAATCTAATAATAGAATAAGCAACTAATCCTCGACAGCACACATGACCGAGTATACGCACTCCTCCTTGTTGATCAAGTGGCATGTTTTGTTCACCAGGGACATCAACTGATTGACATCGGTTGCCCAGTTGTTCAGGATGTCGGAGGCACTCTTCTTCGTGGTGAAATAGATAATACCAGCGGGGCGATCGATCTTCACGCGAATTGTGTCGCTGTTGGCCAGCTTGGACAGATATTCTTCACAGCGGCTGGCGGGCAGATTGAGGAGCTCACTCATGCGCGCTATGTGAAGCCGGGAGTAGTACATAGCAATAATGCGAATATTCTGAAACAAAATGTATACGATTATTATCAAGAAATGGGGCAGCCTTCCAGTCCAAATCAGTTTATCAGCTTACATGCTCTATTAGACGATCCTTGAGCTCGGCAATGCACTTTTTTCCATGCTTGGTGGCGTCCTTGAACATATCGTTCTCGGCCAACACTAAACCAAAGTCGGCGTTAAATGTATCGAAGTTAATCAGCTCCTTCGACATGAACAGGCGCAGAATTTCCCTAAAACAAAAATTTAAACTCAAATCTGTGACTAATTTTCTGTTTCCTTTCATACTTGTAGACGGGCACATCCTCCAGTTTCTTGTTTTTGGACAAGTGGGCCATCATGTCGCTTTGTTCGTTGTCGAACGGGGCCAGGACACAATAGATTACAGCACAGACTAGCTTATCCGTCAGCTCCTTTTTCTGCGATTCAGTCAGTTCGACCTCGACTTCCGGCTCTGCTGCGGCCTCAGTCTTCTTCTCCTTTTCATCATCGTCCTTCTTCTTCTTGTCATCATCCAGTTTCTTCTTGTCATCCGTGGCAGAGTCGACGGGTGTAAGTGCAGCTTTTTTACGCGACGGCTCTGCAATAGCCTGGTAGTGACGCGAGGTGTTGAGAAAAGATGTATCGCGATTCAGTTGAATCATTAAGTTGTAGAACTTTAGCTTAAGATCATGCTGAGCCGGATCGTCAAAGAACTTAATGCTGATCTTCTTGGCTATGATTTGAGTCGACACATTGTCCTCCTTCAGTAGACAGAGACGCATTTGCTCCAAAATGAGCTCAACCTTCTCACGCTTGTCCATGGAACCGTACGTCTCTACCTGCAGCTCTTCCATAACAGACGCTGCCGCTGCGACGTCGCCATCGGCCTCCTTGATGTCGGCCAAGGTTTTGGTGAGTCGAGCACGCTCTATTTCCACATAGATCTTCCCCTCAGTGACCGAACGTAGTGTATCTATCAGCTTGAGCTTGGTCTCCTTATTGGGCGTTTTGTCAACGTACGTGCAGCACTCCTGGATCATCTTCACGACAGCCTGCTTAAGCTGAGAGCGCCTACGCACCAGAAGGGTGACGTACTCATTTAGGGCATTCCAGTTGGACGCATCGAAGCATATCTGGCAAATCGCGACAAGGACACGCGAGCACGACACCATGTCAGCGCCAAGACGCGTCTGTTTCTCCAGTTGCAGCATCATCTCGATGGCTTCGTGAAAGGCGTCGGGATTCTTTTTGGCCAGCTCCTTTGCCAGAGGAATTTTCTCATTGCAGGCAGGCTCATAGTCCACCTCCATTTTAGTGATGCGGCCGCCATCGAACAAGTAGGTATCCATTATGAACTAACAATAATCAAATCAAATCAATCATTCAATTCAATGCGCATCTCGAGGCGGAGGCGGAGGCGCCCAGCTTCGGTCTTCGGTCGCTATGACGAGGCATTTTTGTTACTTACCTCTTTTTCTGCTGTTATTCCGCAAAGATCAGATTTTTAATGGGGAAAATACTAATAATCCAACAAGTTCGTGCTAAGCTTTCACGTTTCGTCCTTCTGGATGTTGTTTAAAACACAAGTGCCGCTTTTTGTGATTAATTATTATTTTACTGCATAAATTCTGCTTACAAATGCTGTGTTAGAGGTGTCAAACCATCGAGGGTAATATCGATAGTAACGATGTTTTAAATAATTCCATTCACAACTATCGAGTGGCGCGCGATTTTCCAGGTGACTATGATTTTCAAATATAAATCAAATGGAAATAGTTTTTTAATGACATTTCTCTTTGTATGGAATAACAAACAAATATTAGACAAAATTCGATGGAATTTCATTGATAATTGATAAGTGATAATGAAAAAGCGAGTGGTAAGTTGTGCAACACTTATTGCGCCTATTTCGTTTTTAACACTGTAAATTATTTGGCTTCGGTCTTTTGTTACCGCGAAAAATTTTGCTAACTAACAGACCCGAAAGCGTTTGCTATTTCGACGCTACAGCTATCAGCACATTTTGCGGCGCAATTTTAGACTCGGCCAACGCAGACCGCCCAGGTCAGTGAAAAAAGCAAGAATGGCTCAAATCCAAGAATACCAGGAGTATTTGCTGGACGCCCTCGAGGTGGTCGACTTCAAGTTGAGTAAGTGGTTTGGTTTACAATTCACCTTAATCTTCTACTGCAATACGTCTGTTTCTAGTACGCGACAAGGCGGACATCAACAACGATGCTTTGATTTTCCACCCCGTTATGGCTCATCAGATATTTGGCGAGACTGAGACAATTTTCGGATATCAAGATCTGCACGTGCGCGTATTCTATACGGCGGGACCGTTGCACATTTACTTGGGCGTGGAGTATGGGACTCGTGTCAACGAAGTGTCTGCCGGTGAAATGAATGCAGACGATGTGGTCGGAACCATTGCACATAGTTTGCCAGACGGCTGCTACTTCATCAACCTAGACGAGTTTCTGAAGACGCTGGACAAGGCAGACAAGTTCCAGCCCTTCGGCGAGAAGATCGGCGAGTACACACGGCCCTCTGATGACGGCAGTGAGAGGCTATTCGAGTTCTATCAGTGCGACTACAAAGTTCCATCTTTCTTGAAATTCTTTGCGCGCCTGCAAACTTTCATACTGTGGTTCGTGGACGCTGCCTCCTACATAGACACTGATGACGCCCAATGGTGCTACTTTGTTTGGTAATAAGGGAGGGCTTTATTATGTTTTATTGTACGTTCTAAACGACTTTCTTCCAGCTATGAAAAGTATAAGAACGGCGATGGCCAGTATCAGTATGCCACAGCTGGCTACACAACCGTGTACGAGTACTATGCCTATCCGCAGAACAAGCGGCCACGGATTAGCCAAATGATGATATTGCCCCCCTTCCAGAAGCTGGGTCTGGCCACCCAACTAATCGAGACTATATACAAGTACTACCAGTCGCAGAAGAACGTGGTGGACATCACTGTAGAAGATCCCTCGGAGGACTTTCAGCGGCTGCGAAATTTTGTAGATGCGCGCTTCTGCAAGGAACTGAAGTCATTTGCCCGCAACGAGATCGTCAAGGGCTTCAGCAAGGAAATGGTGAGAGAGGCTCGCGAAACTCTTAAACTAAATCCGCGACAGGTGCGAAAAGTATACGAGCTGCTACGCCTGTACTACACCAATGTGAATGATGAAAAGGAGTACAGAAGCTATCGTCTGGAGGTAAAGAAACGCCTTAATGCAGTTTACTATAAGCAGATCAAGGACCTTAAGAAAATGGAGCGCTACAAGATGGACACGGAAATGCTGCGAGCTCGATTGCCCAACATGAAGCAGCGCATGGAACAGCTTCAGGAAGAGTACGCCGTGGTCGAGGAGGGCTACAAGAACACGCTCGCCAAGCTAAAGGCCTAAAAGAAGGAATGGATCCAATTGGTGTCGAGTAATTTATTTTTTGTTCTAAATATGTTGATTACAAAATACATTTTGTTGCTATAAGCCTTCTGTAGGATTCTGTCGAATAAATATTAAAAATTACATACGTCCTTTATATGTATATATTTGTGCATCAGATTACCATGTGCGCATAGGGTTTGTGGCTGAGGGCTGAGAGCTAAGAGCTGAGAGTGGGGCACTTGAGCAATTAAGCGTATACAAAATAATTATACATAGCTAACGCATATTGTTTATACAGAATTAATAAACAGTATTGCAATTGTAGGTTGGGCTGGAAGTACGCAAAGGGGAATACAATCATAGAGAGGGAGAGTGCTGTAGCAGCAACCCGTACAACTAGCAGGACCCGTACTCCTCCATCCACTTCTCAAAGCGTGCTACATCCTCGGCCGAAACGGACTTCTTGGTGCGCTGTCGCGCGTCCTGGAAGTCCTGCAGCGTGATTGGTAGATCTACGTCCTCGCGGCGTATCTGCTTAATCTCTTCCGGAGTTCGTCCCGAAATGAGTCGACGCATGGCCATCATGGACGCGTCGCGGCACACGTTGCTGATGTCCGATCCGGAGTACCCCTGCAGCTCCTCCCCGATCATGGACGTGTTGATGTTAGGGGAAAGGCAGACATCCTTCAGGCACAACTTCAGCAGTGCCGAGCGCGTTTCCTCTGTCAGGGGAGTCAGTGGGAGCTTACAGTTGACTTGTTGAGGAACAGGACCACCTCAGGCACTTACCGTTCGGCAGAGGGATATATATCCGCTTCTCGAAGCGTCTCCTGAAGGCCTCGTCGATATCCCAGGGATGATTTGTGGCTGCCAGAACCATGATGACCTTCTCCTCCTGCATGCTCGCATTGAGACCATCCATTTGTATGAGCAGCTCCGCCTTGAACCGCCGGCTGGCCTCGTGCTCTGAGTCGCTGCCCCGCGATGCGCAGAGTGCATCGATTTCGTCAATGAAAATCGTGCTC